ACTGAGACCCTCTCGCCTTCGGCGAAAACCTTTTTGGTAATCTTTTTTGTCCGTATTACCGAGCGTAGTTTGCGGTAGTAGAAAATCTAAGCGAGTTTAAATTTGTCGACCAAACATAACCATGGCTGGACTTTTTTCTGTAGTCGGGTGGATTGCTCTTCGGTAGCTGAGCAAAATGTTTTGCAACTCTTTATGCATTGAGACTGGTTTAGTCATAGCTGCTGTCAGCTTCTGTTTATCTGTCTGTATTAACCTTTCGGCCTGCCCATTCGTTGCCGGATGATAGGGAGCACCTTGCTTGTGCACTATGCCATTCGTTCTCAAGAACGCTTGAAACTCTTTAGAGTTAAACTGGGTGCCATTATCACTTACTAATATATTCGGTATACCAAAAGTTGCAAAAATGTCTCGGCATTCGGAGATAGTTGTATCGGTCGTCATATTGTTTACAATTTTTACAATAGGCCACTTGCTATAGGCATCTACCAAGACGAATAAATACTTGCCATACATTGGACCTGCGTAATCCACATGCAGGCGCTCGAAGACTTTACCCGGTCGTGCCCAACAATGTACAGGAACCGCGACTGGATCGGATCGGATGCTTTGGCAGGATACGCAATTATAAACCAATTTCTCCATATCGCGGTCTAGGTTAGGCCACCAGCAATAAGAACGCCCTAGTGTTTTCATTTTGATCATTCCAAAATGACCGCTGTGTAATTCGCTAAGTACGTTTTGTCGTAGTGCTGTGGATATATACACACGGAAACCTCGTAAAAGGCAACCTTTCCGCAAAGTGAACTCTATTGTGGAATTCCAAATCGTTGCTTCGCCTCACAATCGCGGCCGTATTTTAGGCAATCTACCAGGATTTTAACCTCTGGTTCTTTAGCTGTTGCTGCACCCAAGTCTTCTGCAGTAACTGGTAAGTTATCTATTAACTGCGCTGTTATCACATCTACTTCTTCTACAAAACAATCGCGCTTTTGCGTTGCAAGTCGTGACATGGCATCAGCATTTGCATTTG